TGTCGGTTACAGGTCTCCTGGTCCAGAACTCTCCAACTTATACTACTAATGGGGACATTCTTTGCCCATAGCACCGATCAGCACTTTCGGTTGAGCGGAATATTCAATATCTGGCTCGTACTCGAATGCGAGACGAAGGGACGAAGCGGATGTAAATTCTCGATGTACTTGTTGGCGTTGTCGGTCATTTGACGCGCTTGTCTCCGTTCCAATTGTCGTTGTTGATTTCGTTCAGCTCGTGCCTCTTGTGATTGAGATGCACGCAATTGCGACATGCTCACACGCATAATTTCGTTATCTTGTTGGATTTGTTCGTCTGTTCTTTCTGCTCTACTATTTCGCATGTTTGTTGCTTTATTCGTTCGACAGCCTAAATGGGCGCCGCGAACGTTGTTCTGCCATATAAATTATTGCTAGTGAATATTTTGTTTTTTAAATAAAAAATAACGAATGTATTGTAAGTCTGTGGGGATGGGATCTATGACAAAAAGAGGAATTGAGCGCTGTACACGATAACCGCCGATAAAAACAAAAAAACACCAACCATTCATTTTCTCAATTCAATGTATTTCATTAACGTAACGGACATATTCATTGTTTGATTTGATATATTTTTTATCCTAAAGTAGGAAAATGAACTAAATCAAATCAATATTAATTTCGTAGAGCAATTAAGTGTACGATATTTTTTGTCAGTCCGTCTTTAGCCAACATAAATAAGCTAGATGGTTTGCCCACGCGAAAACATGCCACGTATAATTGTACGTGGGAAAAACATGGTGTGCCCAAATCTAAACCGCAAACAGACATCGTTTGGCCTTGCGACTTATTGATTGTCATTGCGAATGCCAATCTAATAGGAAATTGAACCCTTTTGAATTCAATTGGCACGCCTGTGGGAATCATTGGAATTCGTGGCAGCAAAACATTTTCGGCTTGGAATTTGCCATTCAAAATGGTAGCTTCGATAATGTTTTTTATCAATTTTTTAATGACCAATCGCGTGCTATTGCACAGCCGTGGTGGGTTCAAATTCCGAAGTAAAATAACCGGAGATCCAACTTTCAGTCGTAGAAGGTGTGGTGACATGCCTGGCAAATCCAATGAGTTAAAAAACTCTGTTGGATAATTTACAGCTTCGTTGGCATCGCAAACTGTATCGATCGATTTGTATGATACGAAGTCGCCTGGCAATGACTGCTGTATCTTGAAGTTTAAATCGTGGACGCCCACATTTTTTGCTGCCAAAATGGCTCTTTCTGCCAGCCACGCATGATTTATATATTCTGTGCGTACATCGGGAAATATGCTGTTAATGAGAGTATTTTGGGAATCAACAATTGCGCAGAAATTAGTTGGCAATTTTATGCATCCAGTACTTTCATAAACAGCAACTTTTCCATCGCCAATATCTAACAATTGGTTCGAGAATGTCTCAGCGGATGGATCTTCTAGCATTTGGACGCGCATGTTTATATTTAGCTGGACTTTTTTAACATTACTCCACAGTGACGATGATTTCAAGCAAGCGTTGATCTCATCAGCGTACGTTGAACGTGGAATGACTGGAAGTATTTGTCTGAAATCACCTGAAAGGAGTAACAGAGTGCCGCCAAATAGTTTGTCGTTGCTTTTTATACCTTTGAGTGTTCTGTTCAACGCCTCAAGAGAATGTTTGTGTGCCATAGTGCATTCATCCCATATGATAATTTTGCATTCTTTCAGCACTGTTCCCATGGACGATTGTTTTTTTATGTTGCACACTGCATCTGGGTTATTTTGAATATTCAGTGGCAGCTTAAATGCTGAATGAGCTGTTCTGCCTCCATCCAATAAAGTTGCTGCAATGCCAGATGATGCAACGGCCAATGCGATGCCATTATTTGATCATATTTCAGCGAGAATTAGCGAAATGAGAAATGTTTTCCCAGTTCCACCTGGTGCATCAAAAAAAAGAATCCACCTTGTCCCACTGAAACTGCCAACATAATGCGGTCGTAAATGATTTTTTGTTCATGAGTCAGTAGTGGGACATAGCGAGTAACACTCGCTGCCATTTCTGCAGTATCGTACGTCAGTTCCCGATTCATTTCTGTATCCATTAAATCAGATGCACTTCGATTTGGCGAACTCATACCGAAATGACTGAGTGGTAAATTGGCAATGACAACGCAAATATCCTCAATAGCAATCAATGCTTCATTGTAGATAGCGTCTCTTTCCACTCTCGCACCTGGTACAACATGACCACAGTGAAAACCGCAAATACAAAGAACCGCAAAAGATTTGTTAAGATCAAGATCACCGAGGTACGTATAGTCGTCTCCTCTTACGTTTTTTTTTGTTTATTCTTGTGAATGACTTTAGTGACCTAGCCACGTGCTGGAACCTTTATGTTTCTTGCTGTGTAATTATTATAGCAGCTGAAGGGAATATGGAAGGAATAGAAGTAGCAATTGTTCGCCATGCGGAAGAACCGTTAGCCAAGCAAATAGATACTACTAATTACGTACTGAAAGTACCCTGTACGGTTAAAAAAAAATGTATCTCATACACTAAATTATGTAGAAGTGAAGAATTCGTCTAGCAGCGAGCAATAGCCTAACCGTAAGAAAAATTCCAATTCAACTACGCTTCAGAAAACATATAAAAGAGCGTTCAAAGAATTTTATTAATACAAGTCTCCTATAGCACCTAATCTTATAAATTAAAAAGGCCGCATACTAGTTTACCAGGATGAAGTAGAAATGTAGCAAGACCGCTGGATAACCCATATACATCGGAAGACGATTGTTCCGAGTCTAAAAGATTCACCAAAAGCTCAAAAAGTCGTGAACTACAAACTGCTAATCGCAGCATAGCGATAAAAGAAATTGTTATGCAGCCCTGCAAGACGAAATTGAAGAGCCCGCAGTCAGGTTCAGTACAAAGAGCACAGCAACGTCATGGCGCTACAACATGAGGCCCACGCCAGCAAGATCAGCATTTAAACCATCGTATCACAAACAGTCTTCCCCCCTCGCAGAGGCGGCGCAATTCCGGTACCAAGCTAGTTTTTTTGGGAATCAAACCAATAATTATAAGTACATAACAGGTATAAAATCGCTACCCATGCCTGCATGTAATATTACGATAAATTGTCTTGTCAGTCTATGAAAAATTAATATGATACATAAGAAAAAGTTTACACTCAAGCAAAATGATGTAGATAATCATTCGACTTTCGCTACATCTCATAGTGCGTACGACAAAATTATAGAAATAGTCAAAATTAATAAAATTTGGTCACACATTCTGTCACGTTCTGTGTTTCATTCTTAATCCTTACTCGTCATAAAAATCCATCCACCGTTGTCCCTTGTATACTACCCCTTTACCGTTAATCCTAATCCCCACTAAAACATTCTGTAATTATAATGTTTTTCTGAATACTTTCTAGTTTTCAAAGAACTCTATAATTCACAAAAATCATATCTTTATCAATCTTTCTATTCCAAACGCCCGTTACCCCCTAACTGGAGTTTTTGCACTCCCGAATTAAATTTCTTCGCTATAATAACTTTTACCTTCCAACTTACGTAAAATACATAAGTACATACATCCCTTTGTGCTCGACGACTTTTTCGGTCGGGCGAAATAGCAGCTCGAGATGCTTTTGCGCATATATGAGAAGTATCTTACAAATAATATAAAATGAATTTATATACAAATTAACTTACAAAAACATTATACTTTATTGTTATCTATATTTGTATCTATATTTAATATGTTATCTATATTTATATCTAATATTATATCTAATATATTATACATATTATATCTAATATGTTATCTATATTTGCACCTTTAAAAATAAATTTGTAATATTCACTATTTCCATCACTGCTTTCACTTTCTGTACCACTAATTCCTTTATGCATACAATCGATCTCGTTTATCAACAGTTCAAAATCCAATTCATCTTCAATCGAGCTAATCTCACTTCTGAAATTCATTTTTGTGGCACTTCGAAACTTAAAATCAGTCGATAAAACCCTAGTGATACTTTTGCCACGAATCTAAACTAACGTCGGACACATTCTTAGAACCAGTGTCTCATTGACAGAGGAATTTCAGATTAACTTTATCTTGTTTCCATTTTAAGATATATTATTTTACACTTCCTGCGAAAGAACATAAACAGCTAAGAAACCTATTCAGGAACTAAACTGCGCTCCTATCAATTGGAGGTAACGAAATCTAGAATACACAAAGACTGTCGCCTCTCACTCGCAATTCGAGTTGCCACATGAAATGCTGTGGCGACTGAGAGTCGCCCCCTCCAGCGTAAACGGATATAAAGCGGAGATCCCTTAGCATAAGTTAGTTAGTAGCCTGAGAATTGTACACGACAGTCTTCACGAAAATGCATTCTCAATGTCAAACCCTCACGAGTGTATTAGATTAAAACATATCATATTATGTTGATTGTGAAAGTACAGGCGACCCTGTTTTGTACAGAGGATGCCCATTTCTTAAATTTCCCAAATATATTAAAAAACAAATCTACATCTTAAAAGAAAAAGACACGAAACTCGTACCGCCAGAATTAGTACGTATATGTATTGTAACGTTCCGACCTTATACCCCCCCTATCCTTTATCCTTTTTCCTTCCTAATCATCCATTCTCGATGATGGATACGTCAAGAGCCCCACATAAGAGTCCATAGCGCACTGTGGATGTGCATAACAGTATCTGAGAGAACTCCTCAAATCCTAGAATTCCTCAAGAATCCTATCGACCTCTCACAGCGACGCCGATAAAGGAAAGAGAATATAGGACCTTTAATTCTCTAATATTGCATAATTCCCTTGAATCTAGTCACAGCGACAGTCATGAGGATATGATATTAGAAATAATTACCTTTAACATTCCTAGAATCCGAAATACAGTCGACAGACTAAAATCAAAACAAACAAGTGCCCAGACGCTATAAGCGGGCACGCGCCGAATACATTAGAAATACCAGTAAGCCGGTACTTGAAGAAACCGGTAATCCAATTAGTCAAATCAAATAATGAAATCAAATAGTAAATCAAAATATTAAATCCAAAAAGCGACGTTAACACCTCGGGTGGATAAAAATCGTTATCCCCACTAGTTTTAACGTATTCCTACCGAGGATATAAGCAGCGGCTTCCTCGATAGGAACTCACTCAATTCACTCGATTCACTCGATTCAGTCGTGTCTCTCTAGACGAATCAACTAGACACTTGTACACCACTAGACGACAGGAAGCAGTAGAAGCTATCAAAAGTTCAATTATTAAGAAACCTGCAGCAGCGCTCCAGAAACTCACATCACCAAAAACCCTTCCGAAGTAAAGATACAGCGAACGGGGGTCATTGTGTCCATCTGTGGGTTCTGATCTTTACAACACCTATTTTCCGCTGGACCACAGTCTTCGGACGCATTGTGCACTCTGCTGTATTGTGGTGATAGCACTCTCATCCCCACCCAAAGATACTTGGCTCGGCGAACGGGGATCATCGTGATCACCTGTGGGTCCCGAAACATTATCGTCCTAACCTGCAACTGGACCACGGTCTTCGGACGCATTGTGCAATCTGCTGTATCGTGGTTCGAGCTACCTCTCTCCCATCCAAAAGGCAAGCAGAGATAATAAAGTAAACAAAAACACTTCTTGTCGCCTGTGGTATTACAGGCAAGCTAGAAACAATTGTAAAGTGTGTATATGTGTGTGAGAAAAAGAGCAAAATAGAATAATAAGGATACCTAGTCTGTAACTTATAGCACAATATATCATTATTTTGTTATTTTAAAAACTCCAGTGTCTAAATTGTTTCTGAAGACGCCTGCCCAGTGCAAAAACCCTATAAATAGTCTCGTGATTCCTAACACTTGAAAATCACGAAACGTCTCAGTATAGGTAAGTTTATTACAAAAAAAAATATTATGCCTACCAGTACTAATACGTACGATTCTATCCATACATATGCCCAAGCTGTAATAGCACCATCCGATAATATTACGATTTACCTTGAATATAATGTTACAAATAATAGAACCACACGACACGTGGACAATAGTGATAACAGGTAGTCATTCTAAATGAGTAATGCTCCAGGCTCTTGGACCAATATTAATGACACGAATAATTAAATTAAGCAACAACTTAGTGACACCATATCCTTACAATTAAGTAGTTTTTTTTAACTATAATAAATAACAACATTCTTGTTGCTACACGCCGTGTAAACGGAACCCGTGTAAGCAGCGAACACCGGCACTTCACCGTAATCAACCTTCGAGGGGGGGGGGACTGCGATGGTGACAAAAGATGTCAATAGAAGCGTGATGGTACCCGTAATATCAGACGGTCGCCACTCGTACACGAGGCTACTAGTCTTTCACGACCACTGGATAGGAGGACATAACTCAACTGAGACATTCCTGAACGAACTATGTGAGAGATACTGGGTTGTGAAAGTTCGCCGTACGCTGCGCGTGTCGCATTCGAAACGCGACGTTGCGAATACCACGAATGGCGACCGAATTGCCAGAATTACTACTGAAGCGCCACCACAGCCAATCATGGGAGCAACCTTAGATTATATACTACAGGATCGCGCATTCCGTATCTTTCCCGTGTTGTCGACTTATGAAAAAGGGATAGTGTTTCG